AAAAAAAAAAAAAAAGCACATCACAGAATGGCGATGTCAGTATCCAGAGCACAGGACAGCAGCAGTGGGCGGAGGCGCACTGAGGCTATAGGCATTCTCTCATTCAATCCTCACAGTATCTGCTGTGTACTAGGATCCTCATCCCCATTTCATAAATGGGGAAAACTGAGGTTTAGAGTTAAATTACCATTAATTGCATGACAAAGATGAACACAGTGTGTCTGAACTTTCAATCCCGTATCTGGAAAAAAAAAGCCAACCATCAACTACAAATTTTGAATTCTGAAATTCTAACCACTGAAAATGTTAAAATGTCAACCATCAACATTAATGCACATTCTAAAAACAACATTCAGATTGCCACATAATACCAAAAAGGACAAACTGACACAGTTGATTATGTTTAAAATGGACTCTGTGAAGACAAGTAGTGACTCTGGCATCTTACTACACTTATGGACAGTGACTGCATCGGGTATGGGGGGGGAGGACTTGATAATATGGGTGAATGTAGTAACAATATTTTTCATGTGAAACCTTCACACCTTAATAAAAATAAAAAATTAAAATATAAATGAATGAATAAATAAAATCGATTCCTCTGTAAGCCACTGAGATGACAGAAAGCATATCAAAACACTCCATTAAAAGTTCTATTTTTGGTCCTATACACAAAGAAAACCACTACATTTCCCATGCATAATTCTCTTGCTGGTTCCTTCCTTCCCTCCACCCCCCTTGGAAGTGTGTCCAACACAGACAATTCAGAAGCTGACCCTGGTTCCTCTAACACAAGGGTCAAACGACCAGACAGCCAATTTTAGGTCGAAACTTTATTATCAGGATTTTACCATGATTCCAAGTTTGCAGAACAACTTACCTAATGGCCTGTGATCTGAAGTTATTTGGAATGTAAAGTGAGATTAGTTCCCTGACCAAAACCATTTATCTTCAAGGCTCATTAGAACATTCAAGTCCCTTTAACAGAAAAGAGCCATGGTCAGATACTAAGCTTCTGGCCCAGGTGAACTGCCAATCCCCTACCATCAAAAAAATCTTCCTTATTATCTGTAAGGCTACTGGCACAGAAATAAATAAAAACAGTTAACATCCAAAAAGGCCCTTTCACTTGAAAGTTAAAAAAATTTCTCCCTTAAACAATGAATATATATAACATTCCTTAATATTCCTTATAAGTAGTAATAATAATAATGCCAAATGTCAGAACCTGAGAGACGCTGAAACAATGCTCTGAGAACATTCATTGCGCTAAACATCCAAAAGAAGGAAAGGATGAAAACATAAATGCCAAACTCAGAGATCAGAGACAAAAATCAATACAGTAATTGATTCTCTGAAGGAAAAATACAGTTTTAAAATACATAAATAAACCACTTCTTAGTGTCATCAAGAAAGGAAAATGAAATAAACAAGAAAATATTCACTGAAATAAAAGAATCATTAAAACAGAGATCAACACTTAGACAAATTAATTCTAAAACCTGATTGAGATGGATAATTTTCCAAAACTGATCCAGAAACAACAGAAGGTTTATCTACTGGCACCACTATCATTCCACACTGCGCTGGAGATACAAGCCGGCACAGACGGGAGAAGGAAATGGGCGTGCGAGCGGCGGGAGCCAGCCGAGGCGCCAGTTACCGCAGACGGTGCGAGCGCACGGCTGGGGAACTCAGAGCGATCTCCCAGCAGCTGCGGTCAGGGCGGATCTAAAATACACCTGTAAGAAGGAAGAGGGCCGACAACAGCAGCTTCGCACGTAACACCTAGAAAGCATCTTCCACAGCATGTGCAAAAGCCGCAGGAGGAAAACACTACTGTATAAAAGGACAGGGGGGAAACCTACTTCTATGATTGGATACACTTAATCCTCATTTAACAACATCAATTTCTCCGTAGGTAACTTACAGATTGAATGGGATCCCAATAAACATACCACCTAGACCTTTTATTTTTTAATTAAATTAACTACTTTTAAAATTCATATAGAACAACAATAGCCAGATCTCAGAATAAAGCCTCCTGGACAGACAGACTAAAGGAACCACAGAATGCAAAGACCAGAAACAGACCCCAAAACACATGACAGGCAGCAAAGGGAGCACAGCATCTCACGGCAGAGAAAGAGGAACTTTACAAGGTCTGGAAACAACTAGGTAGCCGGGCAATAGGGAGGAGGAGTTGGATCCAAACTTTTATCAGAATTAATTCCAAGCGGATCAGCTGTAGATAAAAATATAAACCCTAAAATGTACCAGGAAAAAAGTGAGAACCCTTATAATCCTGGAGGAGGGAAACTGGCTGATAAGCTGCTCAACGGCCCTCTAAAACTTTAGACTTTGCTTGTGGGATTTTTGCCAAACAAGCTGGGGAAAAAAATCTGCAACTTATCTCAAAAGAACTAATTTCCTGACAATATAAAGAGCCTCAGAGTATCAGATAAAGACCAACAAGCCAAAGGACAAAAATAATTCAGAGACAATAAAATATAAATCTCTCAAACATATAGAAAGAAAAAAGCATATTAAACTATGCAAAAAGTAACTTCTCTTTCAATCAATACAAATCTAAATTAGTTTTTAACATACTGCATTGGCAGGGCTCTGGGGAACTCAGGCATTCTTACTCTGCTTGTAGGTCCTTAAAACCGGCATATCGCCATATGGCAGGTCACTTGGCAACATCTGGAGCGGGTCAGGCTCACCTGCACGTGTGGAAGGGATGTACAGCTACAAGCAAGGTTATCACTGTGGCGCTGTTACAGCAAAAGGCTTGAAACGAGCCCACGTTGACCACTGGGGACCAGTTCAGTGAGCTACAGGGCCTCCTACAGTGGAAGACTACACAGCTGTCTTACAAGGAATAGCATCTACAGTATTAAGTCAGAAAACGGAAAAGCCTGAAGAGTATGGCACCTCTGGAATAGGATGGCCAGAAAAAGAAGAACATATTTGTATTTGCCAAAAGAAACCATAGAAAAGATACAGAAGAACGTGCAGGGTTTAATTTCAGGAGCGGGCAGTACGACTCCAAAGATGGCGACAGAAGTGGGAAGGAGACTTTCCTGGACACCTTCTAATACGTTCGAGATGCATGTGATGTGAATGATGATCTACTCAAAAAATACCAATAGCTACGTGAGCCAGGCACTGCTGTACCTTACACACAGTGATGAACCAGTCCTCCCTGACAGCTTATGTGCACTTTATTCTCATTATATAGCCAAAAACAAAACTAAGGCACAGAATGATGTATTTAACATGTTTAATAACTTATTTAATGACTTGGTTTACCTAAGAAAAACATGTGTGATGTTCTGTCAAAGTTAGTGTAAAGCATAAACATGTTAAATCCTAATTATGAAGATATTGGCTCTAGTGTAAAAAGAAGGGAAGGTGGGCACAGCAGTTGTGCACCCAGTGCTCCCAAGGGCTCCAAGGGTGCCCCACATCAGGCCCCCAGAAGCCTATTTCATTAAACTTCAACAGTTCTCTCCTCTTCTCCCCAGCCTGAATGAGACAACTGACAGCTTCAAAGTTCATCAAAATTACTCCTGTCTAAACAGCACAATAAAATGACTCTTGTAATAATATTATAAGTAATATCCCACTTTCTTGGTTCTTTTGTATGACAAAAAAAGTACATGAAATGACACATCTATAACAACAAATAGAAGGGACCATTTCACTTCTTCCAAAATAGAGCTTCCACCCAACTGTTCTGCTATATTGGTATCTGAGTGCAATTTACAATATCCTTCCTAAGAAGTGGACATAGTTTATAAAATGATCCTGCTTACAGGGGAATGAAATGCAGTTAAGGCAACTCCTTCAGGGCTGTGTAAAGACAGCACTGCCAAGCCCACAGTGAGATACTTGAGAGCTGTCTGATGGCAGACGTCACAAATGGCTTACTTATGACGTTTCACTACAACTGACAACTCATACTTAAACTAGACCAGACATATGGTTAACAGCAAGAAGAAGGGATATAAGGATAATTCTAAAACTCCACTTGAATTTTTTTTCTAACTTCAGATAAAGAAACTGCTACTACTGCATGCACACACAGATCATCATTTCCAGACGAAGATATTCCCCACACAGCAAACTTTGAGCTGCAAGTGAAAGCGGGTATCCAGAGCAAACCCCACACGGGGTGAGATGCGGTATGCGGTTGTTTGGGTAGGCTGAGCGGCTTAAGCAATACCACTGGGTAGTGAGGGAAAAAATTCTGTGAAAGGTAGACAAGGGAACTCAAAAGACAAAGCAGTGTGGGGCCACCCAGTATACAGGGAAAACCACTTTACACAGGTCCAAAGTCCCAAAAGGTGTTACCGTGCCATTGATGGCCACACTGAAATATGATAAAGAAAAGAGCTAACCTATGTTAAGTAAACCCTGCTTAGAAAACTAGGCGGTATGAAATTTTCAAAATTTGTGCCTTGAAAGTAGCACTTTCTCAACTGTCTTAAAGAAAGAAGTTCCAGTTACCCGGAAAATATACTAAGAAACCTCATTCCCTGGCTATGTCAGAAAAATAATGTTCTATGTGCCATACTTAACTTTCACTAAGAACACTTTATGCTTTACCTGGATTCAAATGTAGCTATTTTTTTTAATAACTTACCCAAAGGACCTAAAAATAAAGATTTAACACTAAATAGATAAGAATATATACATAAACATCTTCAATACTGACAGTGTTGCTCTGGGCTATCAGCTAGTTCATAGCAAAAGTTTTCTTATAAAACAACTGTTTGGTTAGCATTCATGGAAAAGTTACTACAGTCCAAGTAGGAGGCAGCCGTCAGGTCAAACACATGAAAACACTTCGGAGTAGCCCTTAAGCGACACATTAGAAAAAAATCAATACTCTAATCCTAATATTTTTTTATCTTTACTGCAAGATTAAATCATAAAATCTAGTTGTAATAAATGACAACACTTTCCAAGTTGCTTTAAGACATAATTCCACAACAAATATAGAAAATGAAAACGTACAATAATTACACTTACGATGTAGGAAGCAGTCATATTTAAAACATCGCCTACAGAAAAGTGTATGAAATGAATGCAAGCTTTGCTCCCTCTGAACAGACTTAGCGTTCGGTCCATCTATGTTCGGGGTACATTCAGGAGGAAGTGCGCCCGGGAGCTGCTGCTCGGTGAGTTCTTTATACCTAACATTATCCAAGAGAAACATAAATCAAGATGAAACAAACACTTATCTTTTTGAAAACAAAGTTTCTAAAAGGTTTTGTGTATTAGTTTTGACGTTTATCTTGCCTAAACCAAAAAGAAAAGATTTCACCTATAACCTTTATTTAGCTGAAGAGTCAATTAAATATTATGCATGGTATGTATCAAGAATCAAGTTCACTGATACGGTTCAGATCTATCATGAAAAATATCATTAATAAAATTAATCAACTGCAGTAAAATTTCTACAAATGTCCAGAGAAATTTACCTGTCCATGTACTACTGTGAACTGCGTGTGTGTGTTCTATCTACAGCACATGCTCTGCAGGAGAGCGTCACAGAGACATGCTGCCTGCAGGATCCTGCAAACGTTGAGAACACATGACGCAGAGTGGCTCCATCCCTGATAAACCGAGATGGTAAGTTACGTACCATACAAGGCAAGATCACCTCAAAATGATAAATCTTACTTTTCCTTTAGCTCTTCTGCTGTGCCTTTATCTGGAAACATTGAAGAAATGGCTTCAAAAATTTTATCAGAAGGAAATTTCCGAGGTGGGCGGCTTCCTTTATCTAAACAGGAAAATGTGAAAGGAGAAAAAGAATAAAAGTTAAGTTTTCAATCGTTCATTTTCTCCACACAACTGTATCTAACAAAGATCATTTTCTAAGAAATTGCTAACTTTATGTTTCACTTACTTCTAATGTATTGTATGTGTATCTTCAGAATGCCGTTAGGTCAAACAAAACTTCAAAATTAGATATGAAAGTTTCAAGAGCCCTGGGAGGCAGGGGGTTCTGCCTCTTCGTTCTGACCCCCCCTCCGCCACTAACCGGTGATGTGACCTTGGCCAGTCACTGTATACTTGGGTCTGTTTCCTTGTCTGTAAAATGAACTAGATGATCACTAAAGTGCCTGTTATAAAACTTCTATGCTGCTTTGAAATTGCAGTTTTCCCCAAACTCTTCTATGCTGTCTTCATAACGAGCTTTGCCAAATCTCCACCAACTATCAGCTTTGACTTGGGATCCTGTTTTTCTGGGAAGCCACAGTTGGTGCAGGGGCTACAGGCACGGGCTCGGAAGCAGTCAGAGCTGGTCACCATCAGTGTCCCGGGTTCTGTTCTTCTCAATAATGAAATCTTAAATAAATTACTTAACCTCACTAACCCATCTCTTCAACCATAAAATGGAACTAACAATAACATCCACTCTATCCAACATTACGGGGATCAAGCGAGCTGGTCCACAGTGTTGAGCACACTACTTGTCCACAGTCAGTGACCGATACGTTACATATCACAATGGTAGGGGGTGGCCTTTGTCTTCCCCCATGTCTGAACACGGCACAAGGAAGCACCAGCTTGAGAACAACTGGTGCCGTCCTTGGAAGTTATCTGCCCACAAAAGCATATCTTGTCCTCGAAAACGAGCCAGGACACTTCACGCTGAAAACAGGGAGACCTTAGGGATGTGTGAAAACACCGTCCCTGCTTACTGGGCAGATTCTAAGAAATCAACAAGATGTTCTGGCCTGTCCCCCCTGAAAGGGAAAGATGAGTATAGCACTTGGCTGGGGTCCGAGAAAGGCAGTATGAAAATAAAGGAGCCACGCCACATCGGGGCTGCTGCAGCCATTGTCTGTCTGTCCGTGTTTTTCGTTCACTCCCATTTCACCCAAGTGAGCGGCTCACTACAACAATGACGATGGCTGCCCGCCCGGCGAAACACAAAACTCAGTATGTTCTTTTGCTAGAAAGGGAAATAAAAGCACTCAAGGACAGGATGAAATGTTACAAATAGTATTCTAATTTTGATTAGGCTAGTAATGTGAGAGAGAAAGAAGGAATTGAGACCTGCTCATACTCTGCGTGGTTTCTGGGAAACGCAGTCATGGCCACGCCACCCGGACAGACAGACGTACATACCATCTCGGCCCCCCTCTGGGTCTTTCTGTCTCTCTTCTCTTTCGTCAGGATCACCTCCATCGTCATCGTCGTCGTCGTCATTGTACTGGCCAAGAGCATTCACCAACTCCACAAAGATTTCATCATTTATAAACCCACATTCTGAAATTCATCAAGTCAGATATCAGAAATACACAAAGGTAAGAGGTAACGACCAGTTTACGGATGCCTCTTCTAGTGTGGAGAACAGGCAGAGCCCGTCAGTCAGCACTACCATCGTCAAGACGAGGAGAAAACGGTCATCTGCAGGACAGGCCTGAGGCAAAGTTGGGAAGCAGAATCCATCTTCAACAAGTGTCGTTTTGTCTTTAACCATCCCTCCCCAAAAGCTTCCAGTGCCTGCCACTACACACCTAATCCTTGAGGCCACCTGCAACCTGAGGCTCCTCCCAAACAGCGTATCTGGCAGACCCCGCTTTCCACTACCAGTGAGCACACAAGAGGGCAGCGTTCCGAGCTAGCTCCTGCCAGACACCTTCACAGGCTCTCCAGGACCCCAAACACTGCAGGCGCGACCACTGGCAGCGCTTGCAGCCCCGCATGGCCTCACAGAGGCACTTCAGGGCACAGGGTCCTTTGGAGCCCATGTCACATAAGCAGAGCCCGAATCCTAACTGATTTCACTGCTAGGAAATCTTAAGACCTACATATACTCAAATAATGCTACTTACTTGACATATTATTGACATTATGTTATAACCAACTCTGCATAATTTTCAAGTGGCAAACATAACCCCAGTTTAAGAATAGTTAGGGGGGGACTCGATAATAAGGGTGAATGTAATAACCACACTATTTTTCTTGTGAAACCTTCATAAGAGATATATATCAATGATACCTTAATAAAAATTTTTTTTAAAAAAAGGGTTACGGAAAACGCTGAAAGTTTTAGGCTTATGAGCCCAAGCCTGTCCAGCACAAAACTTAATTTTAACAGTAAAAAAATATTTTTCATACCTATGCTTAAAACTGAAATCTCTCTCAATTCTTTGGCCCTCTTTCCAAGAGAAAAAGTACATAGCTCACCTCTATCCCCATGGACTTTTCCATCATAATTTTTTATTAGTTCTTCAATGAAAGTCCCATCCTGGTCTAAAACTTCATCCCCCATATAAGGAATGTTATGTAAAACAGTTTCATCTTCTACCTAAAGGTAAAAAAAAATTTTTTAAGCAGGCTTAAACAATAATTTTTTTTTACAGTCAAAGTAATACAGTTTTTTCACAAGTATATGTCTTTGCCCAGTTCTCCAGATCCAAACTAATAGCAAACACTGAAAGCTATAAATAACAGCTCCTTCTCAGCAAAAAGCATATCTGAGAAAACAAAATATTTGTAGGCAAAAAAATTTAAGAAAAAATATTGTACTTACCTAATCTAACATCATCAATCATAAAACTTAACATCATTTTATGTACCTCTTGAAAAAAATGCTCTAATTACAATATGACTCATCAATTTTAAGACACATTCCCATTTCATATGTTAAAGTCTTCAAATCAATGAAATGTGGCTTATCATCTCTACAAATACCATACCTGCCCCCCACAAAATGTAAAGACTTCTAAACTTTGAGATTTGTTATTAAGAGACATTCAACATAATAAAATTCTTATAATGTAAAATAGAGTATCGATGGCCCTTTAAGTTTATGCCAAAAGGATTTACTCTAATACACAAAATAAGCACATTCTACAATAACATAGTTCAATATTGAGGTGAACAAGGTGCACATAAAAATGGATAATGCTAATAAAGATGAGAGACGAATTCCCATCAAGGTCTGGAAGAGCTCAGGGAAGAAAGAGGGTGCAGCCAAGGCTCAGAGACCCCATGCGCAGAGAGCAGAGTACTGCCTGAGACAAGGCCCAGGCAGCGATGGGGTGGGGGGTGGTGTTAACAACGAAAAAAACACAGTGATTACACATAAAGACTGAAGTCCACATTTAAAGAGATTAAAATGAGGACAAGTCTACATCTTAAGAGGCCTTTCAACAGGGTATTGGTTTAAAACAGACCTTTACAGCAATGACTCTGACAGAATGGATTGGCCAAGACTGGCAGGAGACACAGCAGCTGTCTATCTAATGGGAGGTGCCTCGAGCGTGGACCATGATGCACGGAGAAGGGCATGGTGGGAAAAGGCCATGAGACACATAAGGCACTGCCAAGGGTAACAGGCAGGAAATACCAAGGCAAAGACATCTCAAATAGTCCCTTGATGAAAATGCAGAGTTCATGAAGATAAGAGTGCCTCAGACAAACAGGAAAAATGGAAACTGGGAGAAAAAGTACATGTGGAGTATAAAATGAAAATTTAGATTTTAATATATTCATCTCAGACTGAAGCTTACATACAACTAATGTCTGGCTGTCATCACATCTCACACTAATCTCACTGAAACTAGGAGCTGACTCTTTGGAAGCAAAGCCGACTTAAGTGACAGCTGGCTCTCATCTCCCCAACTGAATCCACATGACCTTTGCTCCCCAAAACATATTCCAGCCGTAATGGAGATAGTGGCTGAGTTTGCTTTGGTCAGTGACCAATAAAACCCATAGATGACTCTTAAGTAATATTTATTGACAATTTTAAACATTATATTCTTTCAGAATTTTAGTCTGTACAAATATGAAACCTCCCTTAAGCTCTTAGAATATGACTCTCAAACTAAATGTTTCTGAACAAAGCCTTAAGTGCAGATTTATGCAACTGCAGAAGAGTAGGTGAAGTTTGCCTTTAGCCCTCTATGGTAAACTCTTTAAGAAAAAAGTTACTAAAGACATTAGAAACATGTATTTTTTTAGTTTGGTAATTCTCTAGGGTAGGCTCACTCACCAGGACTTCCATCAACATTTTATTAGCCTTAGTATTTTATATATCAAATAATAAAACTGTATTTTTTATTTAACAACACAACTCAAAAATGCACACTCAAATTTCTTTGTTCTGTCCTCTGTCACCCTTCTACAATTAATTAAACACTAATATTTCATTACAGAAGCTATTGGGTCAGGGTTACCTGCAGAAATATACTTAAGCTTGTGTTCTGTAAGCCCAGAGAATACTTCATAGTGTACATCATCATTTAATAACATACTGTCTAAAACTGTGTTAAATGTTAAGTTCTCCAAAAGACCTCAAGTCAGACTGAGATTACAGGATGCTAACTGACCTCTTCAAGGTAAGAACTATAAGCTTCCTATTTTACATACACTCTTAAGTCCAGGTATGGCTTTTGCTTAACACTTTTCCTTTGGAGAATATCCTAACTTCTAGAACTGGGAAAACAGCCACGATGCAAAGGCTTAAAAAATATACAGGTAATAAATGGGTTAAAAACATCATTCCAAGTGCTACCACTTGGATAGCTTGCTTTTTCTTGATTCACGTTGACAAGTAATTATGAATTACGTTTTTTTAATTCAAAATAAGTGATTACCAGATAAGCAGATGCTACATTACCTACATACCATAAAATTCTGCTGTAGGGGAGACCAAGAGTACATGATGGGCACAGAAGCAACTGCATTCAGAGTCTTTAATGGGATGACTTGTGTTGGAAAATCCAAGTCACTGGTCACTGAACACTAGAACAGAAATATAAAATTGATTTGTAAGAATAAAAGGACAATGTTAAGCTGTAGCCATCATATTATAACAGGATGCTGCTCACTTAAATAATTTTGAGAAGAGAATTTCTTTATCTAAGACAGTACAAGTAGTAAAAACCAAAAAAGATTCTCTCCTTTCTTTTACTTAGGGTAAAAAAAAAATGCTTCAAATTTTGCAAATTTTCAAAACCCCCAACCCTTCCCATACTTACCAATTACCAGTAAGAATCAGATTGTACTTATGTTAACCTCAGATTCAGTGCTCCTTGCTTTCAGTATAAACTTTCTACATTAATGCTAAGTTTCTTTCATATCTCAACAACACTGGAATATTATACATACCAAATATGCCTCTTAAATCTTACTTAATAAGAATATAGAAGCTTGTTAGGTTTACCTTTCTTATCTTTATCTTCCCTTTTAAAAAACCCAAGTGTCACTGACAGATATTATCAGATGATACACAAATATGAAGGGTAATAGATCTGAGTTTCAATCACAACAAAATGGACTCAAACTGTGCAAGTGTGACCTCTAAATTAGTAACATAGTAGCAGCTAATATAAGCACTTTCCATGTGCTATGCACCATTTTAAACACATTACATGTCCTTTCATATTTAGTCCTCATTACAGCATTATAAGATGGGGACCATTCTTAGCCCCCATTTTAGAGGTGGGAAAACTTAGGGTAGAGAAAGGGTAAGTAACTGGCCCAGAGTCATACAACAGACAGGGCTAGAATTTAAACCCAAGAAGTCTGATTCTAGAGCCTTCGCTCTTACACACTACACATATTGCCACAATACCGTATGTCTACAATGTTTAAGTGTACACCCTTGATACACCGTAGTTCATCCAATCTACAATGACATCAATTCCAAGGCATAATAATTATCTTCTGGATCACTAAGGAAATACGCTGCCAGTTCAACTGTAACATAGCTTTCATGTAACAATGATTCTAAGATGCAAGCTAGAATCAGATGTTAAAGTGTTCAAACTTTTGCATCTTTGATTCTATGAAATACGGTAAAAATCTGTGCCCAAAAACCCACAGCACTTTGTTTTATCTAGGAATCCAGCTTTTCTTAAAGAGCATCATTACCCAATTATCAGACCTCCAGAGCCTTCTCAAAAATACTGTGAATATATATTCATAATCCACAATCAATGAAAATAGAGAAAAAAGGAGAATTGAAGTAGTAAAATGAAACAAAAAAATATATATATACAGCACACATAATAATTAAACGTCTGGTTTCTATTTAAGAGGTCTTAAAGAGCAGGACTAGATTTGGTGAAATCAGAGCGTATATCTTTGGCGTACAGACCACAGGGGCCTTCATCAGGCCGGGGGGACAACTCTGCAATAGTTACAGTCACTGCAGCACAAAAACAGTTCCTTCCTTCAAGGGGGTGAAAGCTTAAAGACAGAGTGGTTAGGAAGAGCTGTGACAGTGACTCATCCGTTAATTTGCGTTCCAAAAGGGAAAAGATAAAGGTACTACTACTAGAAAGCTCAGAGCTCAAGTGAATAGGAAGGCGTGAGCACTTTGCTAATATTCCAATGCCACAATCTCTCCCTGGCCTGCTCTTTGGCCGCTGATACAATTCTTTGTCCATCCATCCAATAGTAACTGCAGTTAACATTTATTGAGCACATACTATGTTGCAGGCACTGTGCTAAGTGCTTTGTATACATTATCTTACACACTTCATCTAGGCCTTTAGCATTACAACTTTATAAATAAGGAGACTGAGGTTCAGAGAAGTGAAATAACTTGCCTCATCAGAAAGGTAGTCAATTAACCACGCAGGATGGAAGCCTACACCTGCCTCCAGCCCCAAGAGCTTCGTCACTGTGCTAGCTCCCACCCCGGAGGTGCTCACGGGGCAAAGGACAGTGACAGTGGCGCAGTGGGCGCCAAACCTGAGGCGGGCAATGTGATGGGAGCACCTCCACCCCCGGGGCCCTCGGATCCCCACTACGACCAAGTAACCTTTCCTTCTTCCTACTTAACCAGCTAACTTTGGGGCAAAGACTGGTTGTAATACACTGTTCAGTGACTTTAAGGGCAAAATAATTTTCATGTCTAACAAAACAATTAGTGTTTTAGGGTTTGGCTTACACTTGGTGGGGACAAATTATGTGACTTTAATTGTGGAAATTAGCTCCCTTTAAAGCTTAGAGAAGGTAAGGAGGGTAAAGGAGTGCATATCGCCTCTCCAACTTGGATTTATTCACCTGCTTAAACATCTAAATCCAAGGTCACACTTAAGATCAGACAGCTGAATATTCTATTCAACTACTAGACAGGAGGCAGGTCGGCTTCGCTTCATCTGTTTGCTCTAATGATGTAGGAAATGTTCTGAGTCGCCCGAAGGAGGTCAGTTGGTTTTCTCCCAGGAACAGAAAGAACTTCCAGAAGCACAAAAATAAGACGGTAACAGATGCAGCACTGGCGCTGCTTCCAGCCCTACACCTCTCACACCAAGATGCCCTCAGCTCAATTCTGTGTCACACGAGTCACCAAGGCACGGAAATAAGCCCTGGGAGGCAAAGGCGGCAGAGGCAGAGTGTGGTTCCACCTCTGTCGCATCGGTACTCAGCACAGTGTCTCAAAAAAGAGCAGGACTCAAAAAATGTTTCTGGAATGAACAGACTGCATTTGCTGGTTCTCCCTGATGGAGGCTTCACCTTCAGTTTCTCTTTAAAGCTAGGAAAGCACCTACTTAGAAAAATACACCCCACCTCATTGTCTGTATGGTATCCCTAGAAACCTGTCTCATTCTTTAACTATTAACCTTAACTAATAACCATATTGCTTTCACTTACGAAATATCCAAATGCAAAAGCATTTGTTGGTAAAACAAGTTTGGGAATTCTTATTTATTGACTTAACAGGAAAATTACTCAAAAATCCCAGTTACTTACCAGTAACTTTTTTTCTTTGAAAATGTATCATCCTTGACAGTGTATATAACTAAGCTTCATATCATACTCAGAGGACTGAAAAAGATTTCGACCTCCCGGGTCTCCACAGCATTTTACCTGATCAGAGTCAAGTGCCCTGGACTCTAGGAGCTCACAAGGAGACCTACGTCACCAACTAGAAACTTCTAATTCTGGTTCTAACTTAAGGGTCACACAGGGAAGTTACAGATGATTCATCATCGATTGTAAATAAAGAAAAAAACTATTAGTTACCAAGGATGCTACATTTTCAGAGAAACATAGCTTACTGGTAAGTAACGAGGTTCCTCTGAGGATGGATAGACTTACATCAACCAGCTGGTACAATAGGCGACTGTGTGGCTGGACCACTGGGAGCTGGAGAGGGAAGTCAAGCCAAAAATAGCTGTAGGAGCGCGCAACCAAACTGAGACTCTTGGCAGAAGGCTCGTTCCAAGTAAAAACTGTGTTATGGAAAATCGTAGAGGGAAGAGCAGGTGAATGGCCTGCAGGGAAGGGAAAGAAATTAACACACCCTACTATGTGCCAAGCACTGTGCTAGAGACTTTACCAAAGTTAACTCCTTTAAAAGTCACACTACTCTAGGAGGCCAGTATGATTCCCCACTTTACAGTGGCACAGGACACCCCAAAGGACAACAGCCAGAGCCGTCCGGTCTCTGAACAATCTTTGACATCAGAAGGGTTAAGTCCAACTTCCGTATAGTAGGGGGAAAAAAAACACAGTCAGTTAGCCAAGTTAAAAATATTCTTGGATACTGGTTGGTCCATTTAATTCACGCCAGAGACACAGTGAACTGTTGACATTGTCTAATATCCCTCTGCCTTTCCCAGTAAAAACAATAAGGGACTGTCTCACATCTGAGGTGGAGGAAAGAAGGGACAGGAGAAGGTACGCCTGTCACCCAACTCTAGAGAAAAGCTGAGGATGATTTCTGAAACTACCTGTTCTTCGAGAACATAGAATGGAGAAAAGGCAACATACCAGGTTTTAAATCAGCTAGCCCTTCTGTTGAAAATGATAGTGTATATAATCTCACACTGCTTTTCTGTGAAGGAAATCATAAAGAAAAAACTGGAATGAGGTAAATATCAAGTTTAGCTCAAGTTAAGACAAGCTTGATAGCAGAAGTGAGTTCATGACCAGGTTTAGGAGGATGAGACAGCTAGTTAAGAGGCGAGTGGCTCCAGCAGGACAGTCAGAAATAAAAATGGGAAGACAAAAATCCTGATCAGATCTTGACACAGACATATTTAATAAAAGCAGCTAATCAAAAGAGTTGGGGCTAAGGAGAGAAAAAGATCGGTTCCCAGCAGACCGTAACCCCTTTCCATTTCTGTGGTTAAATACCGAGGAAGAACCTCTGCCCCGCAGCACTAAGCTCTTGCTTCGGGGCTCACTTACGCATGACGGAGGGATGTTATCCCGTGTCAGTCTTAGAAAACTTCTCAGGGGGAAAAAGACACGCGCAGGATTTAACACACAACACAGAATATCTGGAACTCAGTTTCAGGAAGCTCAGCCCCTCAAAGCTCTTCCCTGAATCCTAACTTCAGAAGCCCGAACAAAAGAGATCATAAATATATAAACCTGGTCAATGCTGCTGAAACTCGATGCATAGGGAGACCCAAAGCAGTCTGGGATGAAGGCGGCTGCTAGGCTTTATCATCTCCATATAACCAGGCAGCTCTGCTGGAAGCCCCAATTTGTTCTTCGAGAACATAGAATGGAGAAAAGGCAACATACCAGGTTTTAAATCAGCTAGCCCTTCTGTTGAAAATGATAGTGTATATAATCTCACACTGCTTTTCTGTGAAGGAAATCGTAAAGAAAAAACTGGAATGAGGTAAATATCAAGTTTAGCTCAAGTTAAGACAAGCTTGATAGCAGAAGTGAGTTCATGACCAGGTTTAGGAGGATGAGACAGCTAGTTAAGAGGCGAGTGGCTCCAGCAGGACAGTCAGAAATAAAAATGGGAAGACAAAAATCCTGATCAGATCTTGACACAGACATATTTAATAAAAGCAGCTAATCAAAAGAGTTGGGGCTAAGGAGAGAAAAAGATCGGTTCCCAGCAGACCGTAACCCCTTTCCATTTCTGTGGTTAAATACCGAGGAAGAACCTCTGCCCCGCAGCACTAAGCTCTTGCTTCGGGGCTCACTTACGCATGACGGAGGGATGTTATCCCGTGTCAGTCTTAGAAAACTTCTCAGGGGGAAAAAGACACGCGCAGGATTTAACACACAACACAGAATATCTGGAACTCAGTTTCAGGAAGCTCAGCCCCTCAAAGCTCTTCCCTGAATCCTAACTTCAGAAGCCTGAACGAAAGAGATCATAAATATATAAACCTGGTCAATGCTGCTGAAACTCGATGCATAGGGAGACCCAAAGCAGTCTGGGATGAAGGCGGCTGCTAGGCTTTATCATCTCCATATAACCAGGCAGCTCTGCTGGAAGCCCCAATTTTACTAAAACACTGGAGATCAGAAACAGAACAATAGTCACAGGACAGAAGTTGGTAAAACTACAAAAGCACACAGAAAAACACATGAAACAGGTAACCAGAGCCATGCTTGTCTACTACATGTAAGCTCAAGCACCTGATTCAAGGAGAGTCCTGTCAGTGGAAAATAAGACAATCTCTATGTTTCAAAGAAATAAAACAAAAATTAAGAAATAGAACAAAGTTTTATTAAGTCCCTGGTTTCCACAAGCTGGGTCGGCACCATCGTTCTGAAGCCTGGCTGCCGGGAGCGGAGCCGGGCTGAACGCGGCAGAGCAGCCGAGGCAACGCCAGGCCAAGGGCCCGAGGACAGCCGCCCGGTCCTGCTCCGGTGGCAGACCTGCTCGGGAGCCCACCAATCAGGGAGGCTGATTCTAGAAAAAAGATCAAGAATTGAATCCCCTACTCTTTATGCCAAAGGAAATTTCAGATGGGTTAAATGATATTAAAATGTAAAAATGAAAACAAAACTAAAATGTAAAATGGGTAATTTATAATTTGGAGAAAGACTTTCTAAGCCTTTAAGAAACACAGAAATTAAAAAAAAGAAACTCTAATTTGGTTACATAAACATTTAAAACTTCTGTGTATCCAAAATACTAGAACTAATATCAAAATAGGGAAAAAATCTGCAAAACAAGTAAAAAACTAATTAATATACAAAAAGTCCTTAAAAATCATGAGAAAGTCCAACCTAATTTGAAAAGACCCAAGACCATAACAACTGATTCATAAAGGAAACATAAACAATAGATACTTAACCACACTAAATAATTAAAGAAAAGCAAACAAACTGTAATAACCTTTTACCTCTCACACTAGTGAAGATTAAAAAGACTGATGATATATTTTGCATTGGGAATACAGATGAGCAGACACTTCCTTAAACAACTGGTGGGGGTAAAAATATAATTTTTTTTTTTTTCCTCTCACACTAGTGAAGATTAAAAAGACTGATGATATATTTTGCATTGGGAATATAGATTAGCAGACAATTCTTCAACAACTGGTGGGGGTAAAAAAGAAAACCTTTTTGGGGGCAATTTGGTAATACCTATTAAAATTTTAAATATCCATATCCTCTTGACCTAGTAATTATATTTCTAGGAACTTTTCCTACAAAATTACTCAAAAGATGCAAAGATGTGTATGAGGGATATTCATCAAAACACAAATTGCAAAAGTAAAAAATAAAAACCTAACTGTTCATCAATTAAGAATAAAGAAATTAATTATGGTATATCCAGGGAATCAAACACTATGGGTCCTAAAGAGACCAAAGACCTGGGGAGAGGTCATGAAGTGATGGCCCAAAATGGCCAGAAACTTTAAAATAAAATATATACCATCATTATTATTAACATAGAAAAAGAAACCTGAAAGAATAAAAGTCATGGGGTTTTGAATACAGGGACTTTTGCCTTCTGTTTATATATTTCTGTGTTATTTGAATTTTTATAAAAATCATTTTGCAATGACCTTTGATTCCAGAGAAAGCAAAAGAGTTTCATGAACCCAAGAGATATTCACATTAACTGGTATAAAAATGCCTCAGTCGATTGCCCAGGCAGCTTAAGAAATCTCCCTAACCCTCCCCAACAGTACTCAAGTAATATTTTTTTACAAAATCCACTGAGAAGATAAAACATAATCTTAAGCAATGAATAAATCAATCCGTATTATCAAGCTAAAAAGTGATAGGTGTTCTAGGTCTAGTAAAATTTTATTTTTACAGAGCAATAAATGTTTAGCATTGCATACTGGACAAGTATTTCTTTTTGTTCATTCTGTTTGTTTTTAAAATATGTGTCAAAATTTGGTTTTGCATTTTGGGAAGACCTGATCTTTGTAATAATCAATTTAACAATTTGTGTATTTAAAACACAAACTATATACACAATGGTCTAGGAGAAAAAAAAACTTAAAAGCAAACTCTTGTGGTTTATTTGCACAAAATAAACAATATTTTTTTATTTGCTTTTTAAACTTAAGATATATAATAAGTGAACTCATAAAGTATATGATATATATTGAATATAGGATAATGATATTTGACTCAAACATCATAATGGCCTTTCTTTTTCTTAAATAACTTTCTGGAAAAGCATAAAATGTTTATGTTAATTTCCTTTCAAAAAGAAAAAAAGAAAAAAAAGAAGGAAAGCCTCCTTTATGGTCATTTAAGAAAAGTTCCATCTATTTCAGCCTAAAGAAAGCCAGAAAGGAAGCAAATGCTGCAGTGATCTGAAAAGTTGTGTGGACAGGAAGGGCTGGCAGAGTTAACAATCAACTCTGCAAGTAAACACCAACAATTGCTTAAGAGAGGCAAACAGCAGCAGAAATCAACTAAGAAACCAGTTCCTTGAGACACCAAAAAAGGATGGGTATGTTCAGACTTTGAGTTAAAACAAACCCGTGGGAGAGCCATTCAGTTGTTTCTAAGGTGTGAGAAAAATGACCTCGCTCCCTGCGGTAATTGCTCAAACAGCTCATGAGAATCTAGACCTACTGGTCCTACCATCCTGAAATTTACAAAGGAAAAGAAAGCCTGTTACTATATCCAAAGCTAGGAGTGTGTTTAACCAAAGAGCACAAAATTATACACTGGGTACACTAGCATATTACTTTTTCTTTGTAAACAGTAACTAAATTTCTATTTACCATTAACTGAGGAAACTGCATTGCTAAGTCAATAAATAATTCAATCAAGTGTTTACATTTAAACAAGATACTGTTTTTCTTCTCCATCAACAAAAACAGTTAAGTCCAAATTGTGACCATATGAAAGAACTTAACAAGTCTGTCATTTTGGTAGAAGCCTCTCCAAGAAAAATTCATTTCCAACTATCAAATGATAGGTGATGGACTCACAATCATTTCAAATATTACCAAAAAAAGCAAAACTGTGTGTATTGAAAAGCCTAGGTTTTTAATTCTTCATGAACATGAGAACTGGGATATCTTTCTGATGCTGCTTACATTTCAGACATTCTGAAGAAGCCCCACATTTAAATACATATAAAAAATTCTCACTCTTTTCATTAGTAAACAAGACATAGAATTCTTATGAGAGCGTCATATTCTCCTGGGAATCTAGAAATGCATACTGACAGGATATTTTTTAAGTTACTAAACCAACCATACCATTTGCACAGAAAACAAGCCTCTTTCACAGCCATAATGTGCACAGGTAATAAAAATCTTGATAAGAATCAATGAAGGAAAGTGCCTTGTGGTTTTTAGCAAGAAATGGACAAATGTACAAAAAGAAATGCACCAATAACTACAGGGATGATTGCCAAACCAGTTTCTTCATTAAAACTGGAAAAACCAACACATTGAAGAGTATGAGTACCAATGTGAAGGCTTACAGAAGATAACGTTTTAACCTATAAGGCAAAGTAATAAAAAGTCACCCATAAACAATTTCCTGAACAATAGCCAACATACTGTGGCAAAAAGGTGTACATCCCTCGGCCTGCATATGTCACTTTATGACATTTTTAAGCTGAATGCTCTCAAAAAAGTCAACTGAAGAGCAAAGGAAATAAATATAAAAAACATAGTCACTGTCTTCAAGCAGTCAGAAGTATTTTTAAAAAGAAAAAATGGATGTTTTCAATACTAAAATTCTATGGGCAACATTGCTTAGGTTCTGTAACCTCAACACCAAAAAATAAGTACCCAGGAGTATCTTAAAAACACACATAAGAACAGAATATACTAAAGACATGCCCTCTAAGGTCCACTGCAGACTCCTCCATCTAAAGTCAATCGCAAAATCACTTCATTAGATCAGAAAGTATACTTCTGTCAGACACTCGTTACTAAAATAACCAAAATAAAAAATCATTTTCATACTGAATGTATCTACTTCGGCAAGTACAGGAGGGATTAAAGTGTTAAGACTTGAGGGAAAAACTGAAAAGTGTCAGTGCACTGTCCTCATGCCGCAAAGGATTTAAACTGAAGCACTCGCAGAGGATCACCTTATAAAAATAAGCAGTTAATTAAAACGGTGTTGTAACAGCACTTCCCAATGTTGAAAGCCATAGACTTTAGGTGTCTGGATCAACACTGCAGCCGGAAATTCTGCCAAACCTCCACTAGGAAAAGTCTTTGCAAACAGGCTAACTTTCATTTAGCCTCCTGCTTCTGACCTACTTCAGGATCCAACTTTTAAAGCATATAAAGAAATGGATATAGCTGGGAATACTCAAACGGAAGAAAAAATAAGCAGGGATTTAGTCTCACCTGCAAAGTAAGGTGATTAGACAGATCATTAAAGTCCTTTCCATCCCTAAAAGTTTATTACTTATTGTAGTAACACTAAAAAGTTTATCAGAAACTGTATAAACCTTAGCTTCCAAGAGTCAGTGACCAGGTTTTAAAGGGAGGACAGGGGCTGGGGGTGGGGCGTAAAGATGGATCCCTTGAAGCAGAATCAAGAGCAGCTCAAAAACTAAGTGTGCTTGCGCAGGTCAGAGTTCCAAGCAACAAAAACAAAATTCCTGAGGCTGGGGGTTATTTTCCTCCTTTTCCCCTCCTGATTTGTGAAAATGGTTTTTCTCAACCTGCACGGATACCAAGTTTAGGAAACAATTTTGTTTTATTAAAATGCTAATTTCTTACAATTTCTCACAAACTTATACATACTTCTCACAACCTTACAATGAAAAGTCAGATCTTTATATTCAATGACTTTTTCTTTGTTTAGCACAAGTAAAAGAAAATTCAATTAGTAAATATTCATTTGAGTAAACTGTACTCTTAAATTTAATGCCAAAAATTATATTATAAGCAATTCAGGTTGGACATAAATAATGAGCTTCACCAGTTCCGTAATGTGTCTGAGCAACACATACCCCTCTGCGCCCACATCAGATCACTAGAGCAAGCCAACTGACTTACCGATTTCTTGCCTCTTCTTGGGGAAGGAAAAAAAGGTGTAACAAAATCATGGCTGAGATTTAATGAGGCAGTGTTTGCAGAGTACCTAGCACAATGCCAGAAATCGTTGCTATTAATTTTTAGTGTAAATGTAAGCTGGGCTTTCAGTAGCATTTTGAAATATCTAATAGGTGGCAAAAATAAATATTCCGTGCATTTCTACTTATTTCTCCAAATCTCTAAAATGTATTCCTCCTAGGAGAAAAAAGGAGGTTTCTTTTTCCTTTACCTTAAAGTTTCCAAAAGGTCACCCAATAAAACTTTCAAAAGAATTCTTTTGAAGCCCCATCCTTACACCTTTGAGAGTGTCCTGACTGGCATAGCAAAGAACCCCTTCCATCATCATTTTGTATTAATGAAAAGTCATTCACCTCTAACATGTAGACCCTGACCTACCCTAGATGATGCAGGAGCTATTAGTAGCATATGATACATATTTATACAATTGCAAGTCAGAGCTTTAAAGAGTTATCACCTGATAAAAATGCATAAATGACTAAGAATCATTCCAAGTCATGTCGCCATCGAGGCCGCATGAAATGATCCCTAGGATCGCACTTGCAGCATAGACTGGGCTATTGTGACAGCACTGACAGATCTTTGAAGCCAGTTTGTAACAGTCTCAACAGGTCTCATACAAGAGCAAATCATGGCTTAATTTTTATAATACTATACTAAAAATGAACACTCATTGAAAACATTAAATTTAGAACAGATTCCATTGTTTCTATGCTTCCCATGTTTAGATACTCGATAAACAATCATCTACTACATGGTGTAATTAAACCAAATCACTATCTTCCCTCTTTTTGTTTTAATACCCATTCAAACAGCACTCCATAACCTACACCACTGTTTTCCAATATAACACAGGACTTAAGTAGAAATGCTTTAACAAAAACCCTCCTGACAGGTTTTATAATGTTTAAGCTTCTGTTTTCTTTTCAGCTTGCTGCCGCTGTGTTTTAATGGGCTGTTTCATTATAAAAGCTACTACAGATGTATTGCTTTCCTCTGAAAACAGGACTTCTTGGAGTGATTAAGATCTTCCTTATTCATTGAGAAACACTATGGAAAAGGAGATTCCAATCTCTCGGCACCAAATGTAAGAATTCTTAAAGAGAGAGCCTTAGAATTTGAACAATTAGTGTATGAATGTGAACAAAAAGTACACATTTCTTGTGGCATGGCTAATCCTTATTAAGGAGGGAAAAAAGACAACTGTGAGTCAGAAAGCCTTGCTCTAAATAGTGATCTGATGAGGACATTAAAGAGTATTTAATTTTAAGGTTTTTTTTTAAATCAACAGTCTTTTAAAAATCTAGGAACCTACCAAGTAACAGTGCTACCACCCTGAACACCAGACCTCTGTTACAGGAATAGCTAGGCGCGGTACCGAAGGCAGCCATTAACAGCCAGTAAAAGGAAATAGCAACAGGAAGACGGACGGCCTGAATTCAGTCAGAGACTTCCTCTCAGTGACCAACGTTCCAGCGGCAAACACCAGACAGCACCGATAATGACTACTGTGCGTGAGTGAACCAACCTCCCTGGTCCCTCGCAATGAGCTCACAGAAGTCAGGATGTGCACAGGCTGTATCCTTCGCTGTTTCCATTCTTGGTTTAAGATTTCCGTTCTTTCCAAAATTTTCTGACGATTGGAACTAAACATACTCTTTAAGAAAATGGAGAAGAGGAAAAAAGAAATGGTTCATTGTTAGAAAAATTTTAACATTTCTAATGCAGGTTAAAATCTAATCTCTCAGTTTACCAGGAACATTCCCTCAAACGCATACAGATTTTACACTAAACTCTTCATTTCCTACATTCAAATAATACAAAGACACCACACCTATTATTTTATTGAAAAGAGGGAGGCAAATGAAAATTATTTCCACCCCTTCTTTGTTAACTTTATATACATTAAAAAAAAAACACAATGTCTTTAGAAACATAAAACCATGAAACACAGTCCTTCATATTTGAGTACCAAGTCTACACATGCAAGACAAAGGTACACTAAAAAGATAGTGATTTCTAAGTAGGCTGGATAACCATCCGATTAAAATCCTCCCATCACATTAATATTCATGATACAATTTCCATGTTCACTAAGACAGATCAAGGACCTCAACTTCCAAGTGTTCATCTTATTGTAAATATGACCTTGGCTGAAAATGTACCCTTTCAAATTAAGACTTATCGTGAGGGGGGAAGAAAGCTATCCGTTACTGCATATGCATTTTCACAGAAGATGAGAGTTATACCTTCACTTCATCAGCTCGCCTGAACCTCTTGAGCTGTCGCAGCCGCATGTACTCTGATTTTACACGTTTTCGCCAACAAACTGGTCCCTTCTCAGATTTCTTCCCAGTCTGGCCCATGATTATTCTAAAAGCAATGGTTTCACAATAAAATCACTAATCTAACCAGCCTGAATATGATCACTTGTGTTTTAATCCCCAGCAAACAATCA